TTCAGCGATATACTTCTGATCCTCTCTGTTGATGTATTAGCATTTTTTGCCAGTATTTTTCTTGTCTTTCTCTTTTGTCATTTTTTTTTGACCCACACCGATTGCCCCTGACTGACCTCACCATATCAGCTGATAGCTCCTCATTACATGATGGGGGTCCAAAGCAGACGGGTACAGGTGGTCGGAGGACAAATGAGGATTCAAGGCGTGCCCTTATCAGCACACGCGATTTCCTCTGGTATCTTCCAGCCCTGTCACTTCAAAGTGTCTGTGATGGATGGACGGGATGAGCCACTGAATGACTGTACTGGCTTCCTCTAGGTGATGGATGAAGGCTGCTCTGTCTGCACTCTACAGTGCAACTTTAAAATGCAGCTTAAAAAGTGTAATTTCAGGGCAACAGTGTTTCTGTAACAAGGAGATAACAAGGAGATAGAGTTGATTGGATATTTATTTACTGGCTTTAGGATTGAATATTAAAATATACTATTTATAATTATTAAAATATATAATATTTATAATTAACTAGGAATGTCCCTATCTGATCTCAAGGAATGGTATCGGGGCGATCAAGTATTTTTTTTAACTGATCGGTATCGGTTACCCTAAGCTGTCACGCAGGGGTTGTGCAGTAGGTGGTGGCATGCACCTTCAAGTAAGTTTACAAACCGCCTTTGAAAATGTAAAAGTGCGTGCATGCATCCAAATGTCCCTGCTGTTGTAGCTCGTCAAACGCGTTCGAGCTTCCGTGTTTAGCATATTTGATACGCCCTTTTTTTACCGACTCACTCGTCGAAAGTCATTCATATACTTATATCAATAATATAAAATCTATCATGCAGGCCTATAAATATAATTACTTCAGTAAGTTAATGTACTTGAAGTGTGCATCAGCATTGGAACTGGACTCTATCGGCAGATACTCCATATTCAATTACTCGGATCAGATCAGGGGCATAACAATATTTGATCGGGACATCTCTATAATTAACATTTCTCTCTCATAATACTCACACCACACAAACATCAGACATTTGTGTGTCTGTGTTTGTAATCCTTCCGAGTGTGAGACTCCATTATTTATTTATTTTATGCACGCTTGTATTTTACTGTCTGCATCATGTCTCTTTGCCAGCAGTTTGAGCTCTAGTGATCACTTTTAATCTGTTTTAATTGTTATTTTCTACCACCCTGATTGCATATGCATATAGGCGTTTTTCCTCTTGCCTCCCTCCCTTTCTCTTTCTCTCTCTCTCTCTCCTTGCTGTGGAAATATGAATGTGTGCAGTTCCCAGGTTTCCAGTAGAGGTTATCATCAAATTATATCTCTACAGCACAAACATAGACACAGACATTCACACACCATGTGCCAGGCAGTGAGCCTGCTGAGAAATTACAAAGTGTTCACCAACTATTTGTCAGTTGGCATTAATATAAAATGCCCTTTTCTGGTGCAAATTTTTAGTAATTATTATATTATTTTAATTAATTATTAATGACGTTAATGCTTACTTTTAGAACAAAGAATTGTAAATGACTTCTCTGTGAGCATTTTCTGAAATAAATTTGTGACTTTGTGTGATAAATTCTCTCTTTATAACAGCATTTGTTCAAACTTAAAATGCACAGCATTCAGTAGCTCAAACATTTTTTTTGTTTTATTTCAATAATTGCTTTTACCCCAAATGACAGGTGTCTTTCTCAAGTTCTGCGCCTCTCATACATTTCCTGAAAGATTTGATTGATTTGATTAGAAGTCTTAATGGGTCCACTTAGATCGGACTCAGAACGAGTGGGTTCGGGTCCAAAACTTTGACGAGTGCTTCGGACATGGGTCTGGACTGATATTAGTTGCCTCGGGTCTTGTGTAATTTAAAATATATGTGCTTTTACCACTATTCTTTTCAGGTGTTTACAAATATTGTTTTATTTAAAACAAATATATATTAAATAATACTATGGCAATGTTATTGTCCCCCTTCTTCTCTGTCAATATGTGCTTCTGTGTTTAAATGACCAAACCCTCCAGGATATTTGTGCATGCAGCATCGGTGCATGCTCAACATAAACTGGTCTCTGCAATACCCGAGCCGTTCAAGAGAATGAGTTTGAGGATTTGCTTCATAATATGAACATAAATATAAATTTTCTTGTCATTTGAGGTGGAACAAAACGCTTATGAGCAGTTTATCTACTTGGAGGTGCTCACCCAAGCGGAAAAACTAGGTACTGTTTGCCAGATCAATTATAGAAAACCATAAAATGCAGTTGAGGCCAAACTAATCAACTAAATCAAATTAACAAAAATAAAAATCTTAACTATATTTTTATTTTATGTTTTTTCTCAAACAAAACAATTTGTGAAAATCCGTTGAAAACATATTCTTCTACATTTTTGACATACAATAAGTAGGCTATAGGCTACATTATCTTGCAACATGGGTTAAAAACGTAGCTAATGTAAACATTAAGAAGAAGGATCGGAAAATTAATTTAATTTACTAATAAGGTAGGCAAATGGGCATACTTTTAAATCCACACCTGCCGTGGTGTTTCTTATTTGTCGTCTCTGATTTTGGTCTGTGTCATTCTCTTATGCTGCATTCACGCCCTGTCGTAACAATAATTACGAGATGGCAACTTGTCACGTCCTCAGACTCGGATTTATGTGTGTGGATTTATGTTACTGCATAATGAATCTGCAGCAGTCAGGTGGTACAAGTAAGAGCTCTGTAAGTCTTTTACGTTCATTGTTTTTGTAATGCTATGTGCTTTGGTAATTTAATGCCGTCTCGTGACACTTTGCAGACTCTGCTATGTGTGTTCATGTGTTTTGAAGAAGCCGTCGCTTTTGGAGATGCTCTGAAGGGAGGGTGGCATCTCATGCTTCCTATTGATATCCTACCCAAAATTGACAACCCTACCTTTAATATATATATACTGTATATACACTCACCGGCCACTTTATTAGGTACCCCATGATAGTAACGGGTTGGACCCCCTTTTGCCTTCAGAACTGCCTCAATTCTTCGTGGCATAGATTCAACAAGGTGCTGGAAGCATTCCTCAGGGAGTTTGGTCCATATTGACATGATGGCATCACACAGTTGCCGCAGATTTGTCGGCTGCACATCCATGATGCGAATCTCCCGTTTCACCACATCCCAAAGATGCTCTATTGGGTTGAGATCTGGTGACTGTGGAGGCCATTTTAGTACAGTGAACTCATTGTCATGTTCAAGAAACCAATTTGAAATGATTAGAGCTTTGTGACATGGTGGAAGTAGCCATCAGAGGATGGGTACATGGTGGCCATAAAGGGATGGACATGGTCAGAAACAATGCTCAGGTAGGCCGTGGCATTTAAACGATGCCCAATTGGCACTAAGGGGCCTAAAGTGTGCCAGGAAAACATCCCCCACACCATTACACCACCACCACCAGCCTGCACCGTGGTAACAAGGCATGATGGTTCCATGTTCTCATTCTGTTTACGCCAAATTCTGACTCTAACATCTGAATGTCTCAACAGAAATCGAGACTCATCAGACCAGGCAACATTTTTCCAGTCTTCAACTGTTCAATTTTGGTGAGCTCTTGCAAATTGTAGCCTCTTTTTCCTATTTGTAGTGGAGATGAGTGGTACCCGGTGGAGTCTTCTGCTGTTGTAGCCCATCCGCCTCAAGGTTGTGCGTGTTGTGGCTTCACAAATGCTTTGCTGCATACCTCGGTTGTAACGAGTGGTTATTTCAGTCACTGTTGCCCTTCTATCAGCTCGAACCAGTCTGGCCATTCTCCACTGACCTCTGGCATCAACAAGGCATTTCCGCCCACAGAACTGCCGCTCACTAGATGTTTTTTCTTTTTCGGACCATTCTCTGTAAACCCTAGAGATGGTTGTGCGTGAAAATCCCAGTAGATTAGCAGTTTCTGAAATACTCAGACCAGCCCTTCTGGCACCAACAATCATGCCACGTTCAAAGTCACTCAAATCACCTTTCTTCCCCATACTGATGCTCGGTTTGAACTGCAGGAGATTGTCTTGACCATGTCTACATGCCTAAATGCACTGAGTTGCCGCCATGTGATTGGCTGCTTAGAAATTAAGTGTTAACGAGCAGTTGGACAGGTGTACCTAATAAAGTGGGCGGTGAGTGTATATATATATATATATATATAGAGGCTATGTGTTAATAAAATACTTTGATCGTCATACTTTAATTTTCTCTTATTTGGCTGCAAGTGAGGAACAGGTAGTATTTGTGTTACACCTTGACAGATGAAGACAAGGAGATACAGATCCTACAATGTAATAAGAACATGACAGTTTCACATAAACACACAATGTAAAGACAATACCGATCACAGGCCAGAACAAACTGAGGGCATATATATATATATATATACAGGATAACGAGAACTAAAATAGATACAGGTGTACAACATAATCAGTAACTAAGGTAACAAATGTGATAATAACACCGCAAAAAGTAAGAAAACACAGGAAAACCAGGAATATACAAACCAAAAGTTCATGGAACACAAACTGACACTAAACATTACATTTTGGTACAATTGAATTACCACATGGAAAAACATATTTTAAAGATGGATGTGTATTAGTACACATTATTTGGGTTTTTGACAGTCTTTTCAGACAGGGAGAGCTTATGACTTTGGAAAATGTTGTCAAAACAACAATAATATTTATAAAGTGGGCTGCTATGTTTTATTAGCAGATTTCAGAGAGCAGATTTGACAGTGACTGACAGACTTCATTGCTAGCAGCAATGCCAGAGAGATTGGCAGAGGTAATTAACTTGTATGTCCACAGAGGGTGAACAATGCCTGTCATGCATTTAACTGGAACAGTGCCTTTAATTAAAACAATTAGAATAAAATGCAGAAAAAATAAGTGGCATGTTCAGATTTTGACCCAAAACTGTCACTATTGTTAGCCTTGAATTCCCGACTCGCTCCTTGACTCAGAACCCTTTCAGATTCGGCCGACCTGGTGTGGAGTGTTACTGTCAGCACGAGAGTGGATCAGCCGTCATCCAGCTACAGTTTCTCATAAATGAAGTGAGTGTTTCACATTTTCCCACTCTTTCTGTGTTCTGCTCAACCTCATGCCGAGAGCCTATTCCCATGGAGCTTCAAGAGGCAGTTTGAATAATCCAGGATGAAGCCTCAAGAGGCTTAGATGATCCCTTAACCCAGAGCCTTTGCTGCCACAAACCCTCTTGTCCTCCAAAGTGGGCCTGGAGGGATCCTACAGAGGAAGCTGATATTACCATTTTCTCCCTAGAGTGTTGCCCACAGTCAAGACCACAGGGATCTCTTACATTAAGCTGTCTTGTAGATTATGCTTCTTAGTGTCAAAACTATTAGTTCACTTTACATTCATGGGAATATTTGGCTATTTATTGAGGGTTTTCTTCTTGAATTCATTTAGCCTTGACCTGTTTTGAGGATAGAACACTAGAGCACTTTGCTCTGTGCATGTAATTTTAGTCAGCATATTTCAGTTGTGCATTACAAAAAAGATATTAGATGTTAGAAAATAATAAATAAATTGTTTTTAATGCATTAAAAAAATCATATATTTTGTGAGGTTTATTCTAAAATAAGTGAAAGAAAAAATCTTGGAACAAGGCAAAATACAGTATACACTTGGTAAGATAAAAAATAGATTTACATATTTAATACTTAAGAATAAACATCTTGAAATTAGTTGGTAAATTTGAACAGACTTCCCAGCAGTCATATGCTCGTTATTTGACACTGCAAACATGGTATTTTTTTGTACTTCTATTTTTAGACCCTTTGGTGGTTGCTTTTATCTAAAGTGACTTGAAAGTGCATTCAAAGTGTGCTTTTTCTGTTATTGTTTTCCATGGGAATCAAACCAATGACCCTTGCATCAGTAGCACCATGCTCTCCGAGTTGAACTGCAGGAAAGCTTGAAATAACACAAAAAATTGTTTGGGAAAATGTAATCATGGTAAAAGTTAAAAGACAACATATGAAACTGTCATAAATTTGTTTTAGCTAATTTGCTAAAAGCAATGTGAATGAAATGATTCAATCACTTAATTTGATCTAATTAGTTTATGAAAAAATCATTTTTATTGTAAATTGTATCATGTCAAAAAGAACTTAGTTGAAATATCAAATACTTTTCTTTTTTTTAATGATGATGTAAATAAAATGTAAAGATGCATTCCTAGTCTAAGAATGTGTAACAAATATGATTAAAAATAGTTTGGGAATGTTTTAGATGAGGGATGTGGTTGAAATGGCAGGGCTTCATTTAATTGTATTTGTATTTCTTTTATTTTTTTAGCTAAAATGTTATTTTGAGTTACTTCACACGTTTATTAGAGTATGTTCTTGTGTATGTATTTTCAGTCTCACACACACACACGCACGCACGCACGCACGCACGCACGCACACACACAGACAGACACACACCTGGGACAAAGCACAGACTTTTGTCTGTTTTATATTCAACCAGAGGAAAGGCAGACTGTGTGTATTTGGTCTGAATATACCAGTGCCTAGATAGAAAGGAGATATTTTGTGGTAGTATCCCTCCTCCATCCCCTCTGTCTGTCCCACCCACACTGTCTCTCTTTCGATTTATTTTTCCACTCAGTTCTGTCTTTCTCTCTCTCTCACACACACACGCACACACACACACATACACATATATTCACCTCCCACCACTGTATCTCGAATCTTCCAGCCCTCCAGAAATGTTGCAGAATGAATAGGTTGTCTCCACCAAAGTATGGTATGTGTCAGGGGCGTTTTTCTCCAAACAGGCAAGAGAGGTAGCACCTCCAAAGAAAATCTAAATGTTAATTAACAGTACAAAAACATAACAAAGCAAATGTAATGAAATATGAGCTAGACTGATGAAAAAACCCACTACTTTTTAAAGTAACACTGTCAAATAGCAGCATCAGCGAATAAAGTTTCAGAGGGAGGTAGTTTGTGTTTTCATTGAGATCCTGGTGCATGAATCTGAGGAGGGTAATAGAGACAGTGCCTCCACATTGCTGTGTTTGACTGATTACCCTGCCAGTACAAAAAAGCAATGCAAAAAAATTTAAATTATAATTTTATTTTTGTGTGTTGGTTTCAAGGCAAGGCAAGGCAAGTTTATTTTTAGATAGCACATTTCATACACAATGGTAATTCAAAGTGCTTTACATAGAATAAATTAAAATAATCAAAACAAATAAGAACAATTAAAACATTAATTGGTTTCAATCATTTTAAACATTACCATCCAAAGGTGTTATTTTAAATTCACCAACAACATTAATATTGTGAAATATTGATTCACAATTATTATTACAATTTAAAATAACTTTATTGTATTTTATAATGTAATTTATTCCTGTGATGACAAATCTGAATTTTCAGCAGCCATTATTCCAATTTCCAGTGTCACGTGATCCCCTTAGAAATCATTCTAATATACTAATTTTGTGCTCAAGAAACATTTCTTATTATTATGAATGTTTAAAACAGTCGTGCTGATTAATATTTTTTTGAGGATTTTCAGTATTCTTTGATGAATAGAAACTTTAAAATAACAGCATCTATTTGAAATAGAAATCTTTTGTAACACAGGTCCTTATTGTCACTTTTGATGAATTAAAAAACTTACTGACCCCAAACTTTTGAATGGTTGTGTATATATGCTAAAATATTACAAAAAATATCATGTTGGTAGCTTGTTGATAGTGTAAGTTACAAAATGTTTCATAAAGAAACATTGAACAGTTTATATGGTGTGTGTGTGTGTGTGTGTGTGTGTATAGACCTTAGTCAGGGTAGTGACATATTTAATTTTTGACAGGAATGAAAAAATATGGATAAAATCGACTTTGTGGTTCAATGGATTGTACCATTGTTTAACAACAATCTGATTGTTCAGCTAAAAATAAAATCTTTGAAAAAAACTTTCAGTTGACAAAACCTCCATAAATTAAAAAAAAATTACATGATCTAGGACCTTTATACAGTGCATGCCATTGTAAATCCTGTACGTCTATCCCTCACAGCTTCGTTTTCATCTGTGTTAAATTCATTATGCCTTCTAACCTGACTCAGGTCTATTTGTAACGCTCTCTTTCTCTGTCTTTTCTTATTTCTGTCTTGTAGGGGGCGCTGGTTAGTGCTTTGGCTGATGACAGTATTCACATGTGGAACCTGCGACAGAAGAGACCAGCTGTGCTGCACTCGCTCAAGTTCAACAAGGAGAGGTCAGCCACGGTCACTTAATCTACACTTGCTCTGAGCGTGTGTGTGCAAGTAGACTGCTGATCAGTGTTAGCGATACATGACTGTGTGTGTGGCAGAACTGGTGTTGTGGAGTCTGTGGGCCCACACTCACATCTGATACCTTTGTTTCACTCTTTCACTCTCTTATTATTCCAGTTGACTTCCACTTGCTCTCACTGTTGGTACCCAGGTGCAGCTCAGAACTCAATAGTAATTTCTCTGTTGGTCACATAGGGAGGCGAGTCAACATGTGGTCATGTTTGCAAACTTCTGTAGTGGGAAAAGAGCAAGTTTAACTAATCCATGCAGAAGCCTTATGTTACACTTTTGAAGGATAAAAAAAAAATCATATTATAATGTTAACCAAGGTTTCCTGCAATGTAAATCATTTAGACTTAAAGGAATAGTTTACCAAAAAAAAAAAAAAAACCTTTTTGAACTGCCACCTTATCGTGGTGGAGGGTTTTGAGTACCCAAACGATCCTAAGAGCTATGTTGTCCGGGGCTATATGCCCCTGGTAGGGTCTCCCAAGGCAAACAGGCCCTAGGTGATGGGTCAGACTAAGATCGGTTCATAAGCCCATTATGAAGCAAATAAAAACAAGGATCGAGAGACGTCGCCCATGGGGACGTGGGGCCACCCTCCCGTGGGCTCACCACCTGCAGGAGGGACCGTAAGGGGCCGGTGCATAGTGGATTGGGCGGCAGCCGAAGGCGGGGGCCCCGACGACCCGATCTCTGGACACGGAAACTTTCTTTAGGGATGTGGAACGTCACCTTGCTGGCGGGGAAGGAGCCTGAGATTGTGCGGGAGGTTGAGAGGTACCGACTAGAGTAGGGCTGTACTGTCCCAGTCGATTAGTCGATTAATTGGTCGATACGTTCTGGTTTGACCAAAATTCTGATTGGTTGATTTTTTGCCGCATTCATTTCATCAGTTTTGCCGCGTTCATTTCATCAGTTTTGCCGCGTTCATTTCATCAGTTTTGCCTCACTGAGGCGCGCTCATTTCATCAGGTGGAAAGCACTAACTGCTAATGGGGGTGTTTTCAGAGTACCCTTGTTTCACAGGTAACAGTCTGTCTTTAGAACACCCCCCTTGTTTTCACCTTTTTTGGATTAGCCCAACCCAAGAGAGAACGATAAGTAGGCTATAGAAGGTTTGATGCTGAATATTATTTATTTAATTGTGAGAGCGTTTAATAGTCAGTCCTCTTCTAACATGTCAACAACAAAGAAATCGACAGTGTGGTAGAATTTTGTTAAAATTGATAACGGGAAAAAGGTTGAATGCAAAGTTTGCAAGCAACAGTTTTCCACAGCTCGACAACAAACATGACATATCATCTAAAAGTGGTAAGCTCACTTGTCTGCGTTAGCTTGCCCTGTCTGTTTTGAGTAGGCTATATGAACATATCAGAATTAGCATATTTCAATGTTTTAGTGTGATAACCTAACTTTTTTATTTTTTATTTGGAGCCTTATGCGCAATTGCGCTGTGCCGACTGTTTGTGTTAGTTTTGAGCCTAAGAATCTAATTCATTTAACGTTTTATTTTTCTAACGTCATTTTTAGTCGATTTTAGTCGATTTTTAGTCGAAAATTTAGGACTTCAGTCGACCAAGATTTTCTTTGGTTGAGTACAGCCCTAGACTAGAGATAGTCGGGATCACCTCCATGCACAGCTTGGGCTCTGGAACCACACTCCTTGAGAGAGGCTGGACTCTCTACCACTCTGGAGTTGCCCATGGTGAGAGGTGAACGAGAGGGTCGCTACCCTGCGCCTTTGGGTCGGGGACAGGTCTCTCACTGTCGTGTGTGCCTACGGGACGAACGGCAGTGCAGAGTACCCGGCCCTCTCGGAGTCTCTGGGAGGGGTGCTGGAAAGTGCTCCGACTGGGGACTCCGTCGTTCTACTGGGGGACTTCAACGCCCACGTGGGCAGCAACAGTGCACCTGGAGGGGGATGATTGGGAGGAACGGCCCTCCTGATCTGAACCCGAGCGGTGTTCTGTTATTGGACTTCTGTGCTAGTTACAGCTTGTCCATAATGAACACCATGTTCAAGCATAAGGGTGTCCATCAGTGCACGAGGCACCAGGACACCCTAGGCCGGAGGTCGATGATCGACTTTGTGGTCGTTTCATCCGACCTCCGGCTGTATGTCTTGGACACTCGGGTGAAGAGAGGGGCGAAGCTGTAAAGTGATCACCATCTGGTGAGTTGGATCCGATGGCGGGGGAGGAAGCTGGACAGACTCGGCAGACCCAAACGTACTGTGAGGGTCTGTTGGGAAAGTTTGGCCGAGTCCCCTGTCAGAGAGATCTTCAACTCCCACCTCCGGCGGAGCTTCGACCGGATTCCCAGGGAGTCTGGAGATATTGAGTCCGAGTGGACCATGTTTTCCACCTCCATTGTCGACGCGGCCGCTCGGAGCTGTGGCCGTAAGGTCTCCAGTGCCTGTCGAGGCGGCAATCCCCGAACCTCTTTGTGGACACCGGAAGTAAGCGATGCCGTCAAGCTGAAGAAGCAGTCCTATTAGGGCTGGCTGGCTTGTGGGACTCCTGAGGCAGCTGACGGGTACCGGCAGGCCAAGCGGACGGCAGCCCGGGTGGTTGTGGAGGCAAAAAATTGGGCCTGGGAGGAGTTCGGTGAGGCCATGGAGAAGGACTATCGGTTGGCCTCGAAGAGATTCTGGCAAACCGTCCGGCGCCTCAGGAGGGGGAAGCAGTGCCCTACCAACACTGTTTATAGTGGAGGTGGGTAGCTGTTGACCTCAACTGGGGATATCGTCGGACGGTGGAAGGAATACTTCGAGGATCTCCTCAATCCCACCGACATGTCTTCCATTGAGTCTGAGCTGAAGTCACAGAGGTAGTCAAGAAGCTCCTCGTGGCAAGGCACTGGGGGTGGATGAGATCAGCCCTGAGTACCTCAAGTCTCTGGATGTTGTGGGGCTGTCTTGGCTGACACACCTCTGCAACATCGCGTGGCGGTCAGGGACAGAAGGGGGACCAGAGGGTGTGTTCCAACTACAGGGAGATCACACTTCTCAGCCTCCCCGGGAAAGTCTATGCCAGGGTACTGGAGAGGAGAATTCGGCCGATAGTAGAACCTCAGATTCAGGAGGAACAGTGCGGTTTCCGTCCCGGTCGTGGAACACTGGACCAGCTCTATACCCTCTCCAGGGTGCTGGAGGGTTCATGGGAGTTTGCCCAACCAATCCACATGTGCTTTGTGGATTTGGAGAAGGCATTCGACTGTGTCCCTCGCGGCGTCCTGTGGAGGGTGCTCTGGGATTATGGGGTCCGGGGCCCTTTGCTAAGGGCTGTCCGGTCACTGTACGACCGGAGCAGGAGCTTGGTTCGCATTGCCGGCAGTAAGTCAGACTTGTTCCCGGTGCATGTTCGACTCCGGCAGGGCTGCCCTTTGTCACCGGTTCTGTTCATAATTTTTATGGACAGAATTTCTAGGCGCAGCCAGGGGCCGGAGGGTGTCCGGTTTGTGGACCACACGATTTCGTCTCTGCTTTTTGTGGATGATGTTGTCATGTTGGCCCCATCAGACCAGGACCTTCAGCATGCACTGGGACGGTTTGCAGCCGAGTGTGAAGCGGCTGGGATGAGAATCAGCACCTCCAAGTCAGAGGCCATGGTTCTCAGTCGGAAAAAGGGTGGCTTGCCCACTTCAGGTTGGTGGAGAGTTCCTGCCTCAAGTGGAGGAGTTCAAGTATCTTGGGGTCTTGTTCACGAGTGAGGGAAGGATGAAACGGGAGATTGACAGATGGATCGGTGCAGCTTCTGCAGTGATGCGGTCGATGTACCCATCTGTCGTGGTGAAAAAGGAGCTGAGCTGCAAGGCGAAGCTCTCAATTTACCGGTCAATCTACATTCCTTCTCTCACCTAAGGTCATGAGCTGTGGGTCATGACCAAAAGGACAAGATCCCGGATACAGGCGGGCGAAATGAGCTTTCTCCGCAGAGTGGCTGGGCGCTCCCTTAGAGATAGGGTGAGGAGCTCGGTCACTCAGGAGGAGCTCAGAGTAGAGCCACTGCTCCTCCACATCGAGAGGACGCCGTTGGAGGGATTATGTCTCCCGGCTGGCCTGGGAACACCCCGGTATCCCCCCGGAAGAGCTGGAGGAAGTGTCTAGGGAGAGGGAAGTCTGGGCGTCTCTGCTTAGACTGCTGCCCCTGCGACCCGGCCCCGGATAAGCGGAAGAAAATGGATGGATGGATGGATGGAGTTTACCAAAAAATGAAAATTCTGTCATCATTTATTCACTCCAATGTTGTTCCAAATCTGTAGGACTTTCTGTCTACTGTGTAACATAAAAGAAGATATAAAAAAATGTTCCATGACACATTCCCTTTGAAAGCATAAAATGTGATTATTTCAAACAGTATCCTCAACAGAGACATGTCTTCATACTAAGGACACTTCAATCAGCGTTGTAGATCTGTGGCAAGAATTGAAGAATGTGTGAGACCTTTAATCACACTCATAGCTATAGATCAGTGCAGGAAGGTTGTAACCTTCTGATTCGGTTTGGACAGCTGTTGACTCTGATAAGAGATGAGCCAGCCCTTCACTTATAATCTGCACTGCTTCTCTTGATGAGAGTGACAACTCGCCAACAGCGCCTTTCAGGGTCGAATTTTTTTTTACCACATAACTCCATGTGTGTGTGTGCAGGTCTGTCTGCATGTGTGTATCTGTCTCAGAAAATACAGGCAGGGGTCATAGGTATAGGACTGATGTGTCTGTGTGCTTGACATTTAGAAAGTGTTTCCCTCTGCGACCTGCGTCGTCCCTGAGGCTACAATGGGGCGGCTGTGTCCCTGAGTGCAAACAAAATGTCTCTGTGTTGAGCTATAAAGTTAATATGAATTGGCGTTCAGAACCCATTTTACTTGCATAATGCGATGCATTTCTGAGTGATTTAATTAAATATAAGTATGTATAATTAATTTGATTACATTTTGTAATTATATAAAATATTATTAAAAAATGAAAATAAAAGTAACTTCTTTTTTCTCTGAAAATACATCCCTTTTCTACTAGCATCACTCTTAAAACAATTGAGAAGATGCAATAATTTATTCTTTAAAAAAGAATATATATATCGATTACAGAGATGCAACTAATTAATTTTTTTGGGAATAACATGAATTGTTCACAATAAGACTGGGATCACTTTGGATAAAGTGAATGAAAAAGAATTCTGAGGGAATAAATGCAAAATGTAAATGGAACTACGCTATACATACAACATACAAAAACAATCTCTTCAGGAACAAGCATCGGCCCACAAAAAACTTTCCTTGTTGACTGACCGAAACAGGCCAATCAGGA